CATTTTATTTTGTTTTTTTGATTCTTCGGCCAAATAAAAATAATACCTGATAATTTCCATACTTGTCGGAAGATTTACTCCAGTAAATTCTTCTGCTTCCCCAAATGTAATTTGATCATGCGAGCGCATATGATTCAAATTACTGGCACTTGCGCCTGAATTTAAATAAGAATTCGCCATTGATACTTCACGTCTAACTGGAGAACTGAATGAAGATTAATGCGGGTTTTTCATATTAATATATTCTTTTCGAAACTTCGAGAATTATAATAAAAAAATACTAGCGCATTCTGATGGTAATAAATAACAACAAACTAAACCCGATTTAAAAACCCCCGTACAAACTATCAATTAAAATATAACTTACAATTTGAATTATTCACATGCCTAAATTAATATATTAACTTATTAAAAACATTATTTTATTGAAAATTTCGCTGGCTAAAGAGTTATTTGCGATATATGGTTTTGAAGTCAAAATTCATTTAAATAACACATATATTTCATATGAAAAGGTGCCCATATCGCTTAATTTTACTACAATAATGATTCGGCCCAACCTAATATATATATATATATATATATATATATATATATATATATATATATATATATATATATATAAGCTGAATTACAAAGTTAAAACTATTTATTTGAAGTATATAAGTGAGTTTTAGACATTTAGCCAAAATTAAAATTAAAATCTGAATTATTTTCGATATACAAAGAAAAATTTTTTGAAAAAAAAAAATTGAAATATTTTTCTTTCCCAAAAGTAATTGTTTTGTAAACACAATTACACAAACAGCAAGTAAACCATTTTTGTACATTTAGCTCTGTATCTTCGAAATGGCTGGATCGGTCTTTGGTGAAACCTAATCACTACTTCTCCCAATCATTACAAATTGAATGTCTTCTGGTTCATTCAAATGGGATACTCCGTTCTCTCAAAAACCCGATTTCTATTTTCTGCACTCTTTACTCCGTATCTCCGTAACGGCTGGATCTGCCTTTGCCAAATACTAATCAGCATATCTCCCTATTAATAGGAACTGAATGTTTAATAAATCATTCAAATTGGTTCATCCGTGCTCCCGAAAACGTGATCCATTTTTTCTGAGGTATGGCAAAATTTTTAAAAACCCCTGAAACATGAAGAAATGCAAAAATTTTCATTTTTGATTTTCGGCCCGTTACTATAACTTACCCTACGGGAAGTTAACAATAATGCCACAAGTGACAATAAACACGCACACATACAATGTAAGGTTGGATTACGATTTGGAGAAATGGTCTTCATCTTTGACACAATTTTCTTCAAAATTGGGACTTTAACACGTCAGAGCAATTTTAATACAATCTTCGGCATTTAATCTATTTCTCCATAGCTTCTTCAATCCAGATAGCTTCATTGCTACTGACGTATCGACCCATTTGATATCGAGTTATTTCATCATTCTCATTAATACTTTTGCAAATATTGCTTTGTCGCTCTCTGTATGAACATATTTGCATATGTATTTTATCGACTTCACCGAGCTGCACAGTTTGACATTTATATGTGCTTTATAGGTTCTGCATAGCAAAGGCGAATAAGGAACTACCCATCGATTATCAACATCTATTACCCCGCCATTCGACAGTCGCAATTCAAAACATTGTCCACCATTGTCAACGTCACGTCGCCGATAAGCGGGGTAACCATCAATGTCGGTGATAGTATCGTTTTGAAATGATTTTGGAAAATGTTTTGTGCATTTTCCATTGTCCATGCATGGTGACATAATGGTGAGAGTACCGCATGGACCATGTATCATGTTAGTAGTTATAATATCGAACAATTTCTCATCAACATTTTTATCAGGAATTTCTGCTGAGATAATATTGTCCATCTCTACAGAATGTACCTTATAGATTAACCACAACAAAATATGTGCACGGGGTAAACCTCTTTCCTGCATTCTACTATCAAATTTATCTGTTTGAAAACTCGTGCAGTTATATCATGCCTATCCATTGTTGTTTGTCCCGGCATCAGCAATTTTTTTTTATTTTATCCCATTTGGGATTGCACGTAAAGTTTGAACAGATTAGGTCATATGCACGAACATAAGCCATAGTATCTTGAATGTACTCCTGCGTATGTCGCGGACTTCCAATATAAGAAGATGGAAGAATATATGCAGTACCAATATGACTAATATTAGTAACTGCATCTACATTACCAAGTACTGCATCACGTAAATGTATATATTCCTCAGCACGGAGTTTGGCTTGATTAAACTTTATGAATATCAATCTCTCACTCTCAATTTTCACATATGCTGTGTGCATTTAAGAATGTTATTTTCTTCATTAGCTCCAATTATTAATCGGTAGCAGTAAAAGCCCATAGCACTTACTTTTTTGGCACTGGGATAAAATATATTAAAATTATTTTAATTATTATTTGATTTTTTTTATAAAAATAAGATTTTTACCTGTATTTGGATCCCTCTGTTTAATATTTAAATAGTACCCATCTTCATCTTTCCAAAATATCAATGGATACTGCAAAGCATCATAACAACGATGACCGTCTTGTATTATCTACATGGTATTATCCCTCCGTTGTATTTCTAAACTATTCTCAATAAGAAATTCATTAATAATACTATATATGTTAAGGTAATAATACTATATAGGTTAAGGGATTCTTCTTCATATCCACATGTAAATGTCGGGGAATTGATCATCTTAATTTTGTTTAGGTGCTTTCCAAACCTCCCGTGACCTAGTCGGATCCCACATATATTTGTAATGTATTTTCTATTTTGTTTTATTTTTTTAAACCAAGGTTGCGTAGATACTTTCGGGTTTATTGATCCATAATTGTCCTTTTTTCTCTAGAGACTTTACTACTAGAGACGCATGTTATATTATTTGCGTCTTATAGCATTTTAATTTTTGGCACTTCTCAGCTGCTTTTCTACAATAATAATGTAGACATTACATTTTCTTTATTTATAATCATGAATTTATTATATTTTAATATTGCCTTAGCCTATATAAGTAGATTCATGAAAATCCGAATTATAGTTTAGGAGGATTAACCATTCATATAAACTTACAGAAGAATTTTATATATAAGATATATATATATATATATATAAATATATATATATATATATATATATATATATACAGTACAGGCCAAAAGTTTCCGGACACATGAAAAATCTCATTTTCTGAGTTTTTAGCTATATTTTTCATATAAAAATAATTTTATTCAAGTTAGTTTTGTACATTCTATGTAGTATTAATATTTAGTGACTGATTTGTAACCAATTTGTGAGAAATGCCGGACTAATTAGCAATGAAAATGTTAAAATGTCACAGCCGATTTTCCTGAATATGACCACCCTTTGTTTTGATCACTGCAGCGCATATTTTTGGTAATCTTTTGACGAGTTTTTGCAATGTTTGCGCAGGTATGTTCTTCCAGGACTCGTTAAGGCAATTCCACAGGACAGGGAGGCTGGTTGGATGCAAATCCTTCACGCGGCGTTTAAGCTCGTCCCACAACAGCTCTATTGGATTAAGATCCGGCGATTGTGCAGGCCACTCAAAAAACCACTTCTGCGAGCAGTAAATAACCAAAAGAGATTGCAATTTGCCAAAACCCACTTAAATTGGACCATCGATCAATGGAAATCAGTTTTATGGACGGATGAGTCAAAATTCGAACTTTTCGGAAATCATCGACGTAGGAAGGGTAATGAAAGACTCAATTCTAAGTGTATTTAGATAAAGGTGAAGCACGGTGGTGGTTTAGTAATGTCTTGGGGTTGTTTTAGATTCAATGGAGTCGAATCGCTTGTCAAAATAGATGGAACTTTGAAGAAAGAACAGTATCATACCATACTTCAGCGCCACGCCATTCCATCTGGTCTTAATTTAATTGGTCCAAAATTTATTTTTCAACAAGATAATGACCCTAAACACGCTTCCTGACTCTTTGTCAATTATTTGAAGCAAAAACAAGACGAAAAAATACTTCAAATAATGGAGTTAATCCAATAGAGCTGTTGTGGGACGAGCTTAAACGCCGCGTGAAGGATTTGCATCCAACCAGCCTCCCTGTCCTGTGGAATTGCCTTAACGAGTCCTGGAAGAACATACCTGCGCAAACATTGCAAAAACTCGTCAAAAGATTACCAAAAATATGCGCTGCAGTGATCAAAACAAAGGGTGGTCATATTCAGGAAAATCGACTGTGACATTTTAACATTTTTATTGCTAATTAGTCCGACATTTCTCACAAATTGGTTACAAATCAGTCACCAAATATTAATAAATTTATTTATTCATATATTTATAATACTAACGTGGCATATTTAGAGTCGGCAGGGCGTTAACTTTTAGATTTGTCTTTGAATTTGTTGACAAATATTCCACTTTGCAAATATTTGTGAAATGCGCGTCACAAATATGTCGATTTTTGCCACAAACCAAAGGGGTTACCTCATCCATTAAAGGATTGTTTGTCCTCTGCACCCAAACTGAAAACATCTAGAACATTTTCATAGTATTTTCATCATATTCATATTCATTATACAAACATAATACATCATTATATACATACTTGATCATTAGATGCTGGAAAGACATGCATCTTTTTATTATTTCTGGTGTTAACATAATTTGGTACGTTACACTTTACCATTTTAGCTTAATAATAAGTAAAAAAAATAATTACCAAAACAAGGTAGCCACAACGCTTAAAAGATAAACAAATATAATCGAACTACAAGAAGCTATCACAACTTAGACATAAAATGGCGATCAAATGTATGATTTTCTGATGGGTTTTTCCCACAAGGAACGCCGATTAGTAGTGCAGCCATGCTCATTTATATATGAGTGCAGCCATCTATTTTTCTTTCCGATGTATCAAATTGTAAATAGTGGCGCCGTTCTTCAATCAATTCGAATACTAAGCCATTTCAAAACACGGTTCTCTACATTTGTTCGGAGATTACCAGCCATGCTAGTAATATAAAGTTATATGTAAGTACTCTAATACTAGTGCGAAGGTTGAAATTGTTTTGCGTTGAGTTAAGTGTCGCAAGTTTCACAATATTAGGTTCAGCTTCACTCAAAGAGCATCTCATATCATGCTCAATGTTCATACGATTCCTTACTTTTGTTTTTAATATAAGAAAAGCTGAGAAACCAGTTTCACATCTGTAAGTTGTAGCAAATGCAATCAAGATCTTTAAAGCTCTGTCAGCTATGATGGTATATTCTGCAGCTGCTTTTCGCCAAAATGTGCAGAGTTTATCATTTTGAAAATCAACTTTCAATAAGTTATTTTCACGCAGCCCGAGACACATGCTGGCACATCTTCCTCCTTGAATATATCTACGCAAGTAGAAAATGGTCTTAAAATCCAGGAGTAGCACTCACGAATGTCCATGTCGGGAAAATATTGCTGCAGTGAGTTTATAACAGCAGTTAAGTGTTAAACCACACAATTTTCAAATGTGATTTTGTCTCGTTTATTATTTAGTAATTGTTCACTTAGTTGTGTAAACATTGACACATCACCAGCTTGAACTCTGCGTTGGTAAAATTCCAATTTGCGTAAAAAGCTTGCGATTTTATCCTGCAGCATAAAATTATTTGTTTCATTTCCTTGCAGTGAAATATTCAGATTATTAATTTCAGTAAAAAAATCAGCAAGGTACGCTATTTTTAGAACAAATATATGGTGTTTAATTTTTGCATAATATTCTTTGCCTGTTTGTGTTCTCTGGTTTTCAAAAAACAATCCAATTTCTTCTCGTAATTCATAGACTCTACTTAGAACTTTGTCTCTTGATAACCAACGTATCTCTGTATGGTACAAAAGTGCATTAAATGTAACACCAACTTCATCGCACAAAACTTTAAATAATCTTCAGTTAGTAGCGCTGTCTCGAATATGATTAACAATTTTTACTATATCACTCAACGTGTTTAGCAAATCTGGTGGGAGTGTTTTTACAGACAAAGCGTAACGTTGTATCAATGATAGTGGAAAACTTGAGGAGCAACTTGTTTCACAAGTGACTGAAAACCAGAACGGATGCCCATCATGGAACCGTCTGTATAAATACCAACCAGCTTTAACCAGTCCAGGACATTTTCCTCAATAAACTCTTTTAGCGTTTGAAATACGTCTTCGCCACGAGTAGTAGTGGGCAAAGACTTGCAGAACAAATATTCCTCCTTTACATCATCATTTTTATGTATCATGCGAACATTAATAATTGTGAACACGAAGCAACATCTGTGGACTCGTCCAACTTCAGTGCAAACATAGGACTTTCCTTTATTTCAGCAATAACGGTTGCTAAAATATCGGCACTTATTTCACATATGCGTCTTTGAATGGTATCGTTTGAGAGTGATATTTGTTTAATCTTAGCTGCATGTTGCTCACCTATAACAAGTGTTGCCGCATCTAATAGCAAGGTTTGATGAGGTCCTCTCCTTTAGTGTGTGGTTTTTTATTACGTGCGGTGCGATAAGCAATTTTGTATGAAACTTGAAGGCATGATTAGGGCTTACAATACCGGGTTTCCGTAATCCCGAATACCGGGATCCCGGACGATTTTTGTCCGGTATTCAATACCGGTATTGATGCAAATAATACCGGTATTACGGTATTACCAGTATTCTATCAAAAATTCAACTTACGCAAAACACATATCAAGTTTTAGTTTCCAAACTATGTATTGTGTATTGCCGACTCAGCTTGACTCAGCTGAGGCAAGATAAAGCGATTGTTTATATATTATGTGTGGCAGCCAGCTAATAAAAGGGTTCATTTACAAAAGTTATTATGCGTTCAGTGCCTCGTTCCTATATCGAATTCGCTATCAATTATTTTCAAACATAATATGTAATCGATGAGATATAATTCTTTATTTATTATATATAAACCATTTTACATAAGTAAGAACGGCAGTTGTTTAAATTGCGTGTCGCTGACAACATATTGAGAATTTGCGAAGTGTATTGTTATGGCCCAACGCTTAATTAGTTAATATTAATAACTAATATAGTAGAAACACACCACATAATGAATCATATTCTCAATTGTATTGCATTCAATATAAAAATAGTCAACATTGTAATAAGCTTTTATCGATGAATTGCACACATCGCAGTAATTCCCGAGAAATCCGAACGGGTAATAACTTGACTTGCACTCACACATATAAAGAAATTCTATTGATCATATTCAAAATCAAGTGAATTCCCTTAAACTAAATAAAATGTTATATAAAGGCAAAATGTAACTTTAAGTAGGCAGTTGTGTAAATTTCGTGTAGATAACATTAACATCTCAAAGTTGCGGGAAAATAAATGTTTATATGAAGAACAGTGTGTTTAATATTGTGTGAATATTGTGTTTAATTTGAACTTATGATATTTATAAGTGAGTATCTAAATCAAAGTTAATTAAGTTAGTGTGTAATTAAAAAATATTAAAATAAATACTTCACCCGTGTGTGTGAACAAAAAATAAAAGATGAAATTACTTTTTTTTTGAAAAAACAGGAATAAAAAGAACGAACCTACAAAATATGTATAATTAACTTCCCGTAGGGTAAGTTATAGTAATCGCAAAAAAATCGAAAATGAAAATTTTTATATATCTTTACGTTTCAGAGGTTTCTGAACATTTTGGCATACCTTAGAAAAAATGGATGTATGTATGTGTGTGTGTGTGTGTATGTGTGTGTGTGTATGTATGTATCTGTGTATGTATGTGCGGATACAAATTTTCGTCGACGATTTCGGGAACACGGATCAACCGATTTGAATAATTCAAAAAACATTCGATCCGTATTGATAAGGAGACGTGCTGATTAGTTTTTGGCAAAGGCAGGTCAAGCCGTTCCGAAGATACGGGGCAAAAAGTTCCGAAAACGGTAACTCAGTTTTTAAGAGAACGGAGCGTCCGATTTGAATAATTCAAAAAACATTTTATTTGTATTGACAAGATGAAGAATCGATACAACTTTCATGAAGGTAGGTCCAGCGGTTTCGGAGATATAAAGAAAAAAGTAAAAAAATGAGCCATTTGGCGGTCAAAAATGATCATTAGACATATGCACATCAAATTATCAGATATTTTATAGAGATTTTAACAATAAGTATACATTTTGTTAACATTCCTATGGGTTCCGTACCAATGCTTATGCGTTAGACAGCGACGCGGCGCTTACGCGCTTTATATTTTGTCCCTATGTAGTTAAAGCAGTACGATTGCTTTGAAAAAAGAGTTCAGATCTTCCACAATATGTCAAAATAAAGAAAAAAAAAATTTTTTTTTAAAAATTTTTTTTTTCAAAAAAAACTAATTTTTTGTCCAATTTATAGTTTCTCAAAAATCTAAATTTTCCAAAGTAATTTTTTTTCAAAAATGTTAATCGTTTTTAAAAAAAATAATAATTTTTGGTACGGGAAGTTCCAGCAATTTGCCTTAAGGCACGATGCCCTAATTGCCTTAAGACAGAATTCCACTTACAGCTAGTTTCTTAATTACAATTGTACCAACAAGTGTAGAATCGGAAAGAGCTTTTTCGGCGGCTGGTTATATCTTATATATAAAAATGGATCGCAAAATGTGTTGGTAAGCGCATAACTCAACAACGCCTGGACCAATTTGGCCAATTCTTTTTTTAAAATGTTCGTTGAAGTCCAAGGATGGTTGTTACGGCGAGAAAAAAACGAATAATTTCCGGGAAAACCTTAAAAACAGCCCCTTTCTTCTTTAATCGAGTAGGCAACGCAATTTGTAAAAAAAAACAATGATCTATGTCATGACATTTTGTGTAGTTTTTGATAATCTAATTTTGAATATATTTATATAAACATAGAAATATCTTTCTATTAATCAAGCTATATTGGCAGCCAAAAACATTGATGTAAATGAATTAAATTTCAAAATTCAAGAACAAATTACAGGCGAAACAGTTGATTCGGCAAGTAACAAAGACGATCCACCGGAGTTTTTAAACTCGCCGGATTGGCTAGGATTGTCACCTCACAATCTTCAATTAAAGGTTGGATCGGCAATTATAATGTTGCGAAATATCGACCAACTATATTCAAAGGATAGTATAAAGCAGAAGATGTTCTCGCACCATGCATCCCAATGCGTTTCCAGTGCGTTTATGGTATCATTAAGTGTTTGTGGTATTAATTTAGAAAACCCATGATTCTCACATGAAAAATTGTATATTGTTTGTTCCCGTATTGGAAAACCATCAGATTTGTTTGTCTATCGCGCCAGGTAATCAAACAAAAAACATCGTTTATCACATCGTTTTGAATTATGATTTACTTTATTAAAATTACTTACTTTTATATGCTTATAGTGTTTTATTTAATTATTTTTAATTCACACCGAATTATTACCAGGGTTACGGTTCTGTTCAGGATAATTTTTTGCAAAGAATAGAAAAAAGATAGGCACAAAACACCGCCACATTACAATTTTTTTTTTGACAGGACGAAGTCTGTCGGGCCGGCTAGTTTGTAATAAAATTCGGTTCTCGCTTGATGATCAAACAATTGATTGTTTATGTTTCTTAAGAGCATATTTTATTAAGCAAAATGTTAGCCATGAATTATAATTTATTTTCTTAAATATATTATTAAATAATGAATTCTTATTATAAATGTAGAATGTAAAATGTAACATAGAAAAATATATATTTTTTACTGACACGTTATTTGTTTCTATCTACTTCTACTCCTTATGTAATAAATAAATAATATGTACTCATTTCAGGCCAATATTTGTTAGATTTCATATATTATTTGTTAATATGTCAATGTAACAACTGAAGTAAGTAAAAATATAACTATTTAATTTTTCATCGACAATACCGGTATTAAAACCGGGATCCCGGAATTTCATTTTTCAAATACCGGTAGTATTCAGATTTTTGTACGGTATTGGAAGCCCTAGGCATGATTCATTTGCTTTCTGTATGTTGCCTGTAGAATCCATGCGCGAAAACTTCAGAATCTTCTCCTTTTTCTTAAAAAAATCTATATTTTTATCTGCAAACTGCTTGTGAACTGTAGCAAAATGTTCTTTTAATTTGTTCGGTTTTATGCTTTCTGAATTATGCACTTTATTACATAAAACACACTGAGGCTTTTCTATATTTTTGTCTGAGATGCTAGTGAAACCCCATTGTAGAAATGCTTCTTTATAAGTGCGCTTTTTGCCAGATGGAGTAGAAGCCATGTCAAAAACACTTGTAGGTACCTAAAACAAAAGTTAACTAATAACATACCTACGAAAACGAGTCACTCGTGACAATAT